TCTTTCAAAATAAAACCCGGATTATATATAGGCTATGAATTGAAAGATTTTTCATTGGTTTCAATGAAAAATCTTTCAACTCATATCCTATATATAATCCGGGTTTTATTTTGAAAGGTCAGATATATCTTAGAAGATTTCAAAAAGCGGATGACATTGTCTTTAGCAAACACCGTGGAGTTTTTTAATCTTACAAATACTCATATATAACGTTAATGTTTTCATTATTATTTTCTCTAATAAATACATCAGTTTATACACGAAGGGTTGATAATTAATTAGTTTAAACCGTTAACGTTATATATGAGTATTTGTAAGATTAAAAAACTCCACGGTGTTTGCTAAAGACAATGTCATCCGCTTTTTGAAATCTTCTAAGACATCCTTTACTGATATATTGAATACTTGTGAACTATAAATTGAAATCCTGGTGCGGATTGGGATCAATAAAGGCGTTGGCGGTACTGGATCTGAGGCCATCGGCCAAAAATGACTAACTCATTGTGGTGCCCAACTGTTCCGGGCCATTCACATCGATGGTTTGTATACCAAACTCATTGAGCGCTTTATTATGAAGCGATAGGATTGGGTGCGGACTGGGATCCGATGAGATGTCGATGGGGCCGTTGGTTCCGTGATAGCCAGGGTTATCACCGACCAGTTTGTAGTCGCTATTGTTTTCAGATTTTATAAAATACGGTAGGATTTCCTCGTAGGACCGGCCCTTTGCCCCGTACTCGTCGGCCCAGTTGTCGTAATCCCTTTTGTTGCCCCTATTATACAGCATACCATTGATGGTGGACGAGCCCCCTATGGCTTTGCCCAGATTGGCATCCATGGCCACTCCCGTGACGTGGATCTGAGGAACGCTACGATACGCTGAGAGCCGGTATGTCAGTGGTGACGATTGATGGCCTCCCGGTGTCATTAGTAAGACATATAAATTTATATAGTGGTCATATAGTGGTGACACAATCAGGCTTCCCGAAATACATGGTTTCGGTGGTAGTGTTGTTCCCTCCATGAGTGATAACTAACTTGCAAGTGTTTTTGAGGCTCCGCACACTACACTTATGGGGCTTGGATATGTTGTAGAGTACATGTCCCTGATAACATACATCTAAAAATTATTTGTTAAATCCGGTTATTTGGTGTGCATTTCTCGCCTCAAAAAGGGTACCAAAAGCTTACAATTTCATCACAAATATACTGTACATTCAATAAATGAATGAAAAGCGTATGAAAAAGTGATTAATCTTTTTGTGAATCATTTGTATTCACAAAATGTTTTTTGTGAAAGTTTTTAATATAAAGATTAAAATTATTTTATTTTACATTTAATAAAAAATTTTGTAATTATTTAAGTTATTAATATACAGTATATAGTATTAATTATATATTTATTGATTAATATTGATAATATTTATATTTGTATTAAAAATTCATATGAAATACGAAATAAATACAAAGTTTTTGACTTTTATTGCAAACAAGGATTGACAGGTCGGTGCCGTGCGAGTCATGCAAAAAAAGGTGTGAATAGGTGAGCCAACAGTGCCGTAACTACTGCGGCCATGGGGGCAATACCTTGATATATGCTAACATCATTTGCAAAAGCGGTTGTGCTCTGAATGATTACATTACTTTTGATATAAGCCAGCACTACATTGGACACAACACTCGGGTGTTTGTCGGTGTCGTACGCCCTGAGCGCCACGTAATACACGCCTCCGGTGTCCGTATTGAACCGGATCTGACATCTCTGCTCTTTGCCGTAACCGTCAGCCATAGTATCGATGGTTACGCTAATGTCGGCGCCGGCCAAGTCGTCAAACTTGGTTCGGATCTCTTGCAACAGTTTCTCGTCCTCTTCGTGGCTATCATTTTGACGGAAGGCTTTGATCACATACTTGTCGGTATATCCCGACGTATAGTCCCCTCCCGGCGCTGTCCACAACAGATTAATAGTCCGGTTCTCGTACGCAACCGATTCCGCCCTCAAATCCCTGACTGGATTGGGCGGGTATTCGCGACTCACGTCGTTATCGGTGACGAAAAGTGTGCCGCACTCTAGCTTTCGGCTCAATTTGGTTACACTAAACATGGACTTTATCTGCCCGTCCACTCGTGAGCCACAACAGGCGCTGTCGGCGGACGTCTTTGGCAGAGAAGTGCTGCCAAAGTTTGTGGTGAAGTCTATCAAACTATCAATGTTTGCAATCTCGGCGCCGACCGTCCAGTAGCCCTGGTTTCCTATGTTTGTGATATAGTTGGAGAATATTCCGTCGCCTTTCGTGATGTCCGGTGCGCCCGACCCGTCGTCATACATATTAATAGTTTTCGGTTGGTTTCCCTTTTCGTATATAACACTCATTTTGACCGAAACATTGGCTATGAGTTCGTCCAGTTGTCTATGAATGTTGACATAAGCCATGACCGGCCTATTCTTGTCGGTCCTCGGATTAAACACTTGCGTATTGAGCCAACACTGGGCGGTAATGGACTCGTCATCCACCGAATCGGTGACAACTTCCACCACAGCGACCACTGATTCAGATTTGCTGACATCGCGAGTGGCTGTCAGATGCCATTTGCCTGAGAGGTCATCGGATGTGGTGGTGAAGACACAGCCCTCGAAATAATTGTTGATTGATATAAAGTTCATGTCAATAGGTCTACCCGTGGGTACTTGTAGTTTGACATTTGACAATGTAGTCTCTGTCGACACAGTGTTTGTCCGCATAAAATATACTCGCACTGTCTTTCCCATCAGAGTACTGTCGACATTGATCTCGAAGTCAATTTTATTATCCCCGGAATTTTCCACATATTTCTCATCGATTATCTGGTAATCATCGCTGAGAGCACCGAAGGCTTTGACAAATTGGTGGGCCGTGCGAGCGGCCGATGAGTCCTCGCGCACGTAGACTACCCGTCCACTCGTCACCGAAGCGGCCGTTTGGAAGAGCGGAGACGCGAACTCTCTCTCTTCTCGTGTGAATCAAAGGGGAAGACAATTATATTCAATTTGATGCCCTTATCCCTCAACTGTACGGCCAGTTTGTCCACTTTCTCCACACTGTTAGATGTCTTGATCCCGGGTCCACCGATCACTATGATAAATGTGCCCCCATTGTCCCTATTCATAAGCATGCTAATATTAGTCACATATTTAACTTTAATATTTAGATTAAATTAAACTTTTTGGATAAATGAACTTGTACGGAACTTTTTGAAAAGTTTATATTTATAAAACGTATTTATTTACCTATCATTGAATAAAGTGATTCCATTGGCCAAGATTGTTTCAAAATCCAAGCTTTCTGTGGTCTCCGTAGACCTTGGTAAAGTTCTTAAGTTATTACCCGTTGTCCACGGGTGCACATTCTTTATATCCGGACCGGCACCCGATACAAAAGTGAACAGGGCTACTGCTGTGTTCGAAAACAATTTTCCAAACTTCATGAGACCTAAATTGACCCATTTAATGCGATCATTATGGACATCATTTGCCATTTTGGCGTTTTGTATGGCAAACAGTGTTCTCATATTAGTGTCCGGAATATCCGATTGCTTAGCGATTATGAACATCGGCTCAGCGTTTGTTTGATCCGTTATTCTGTTATAATTGGTATGCATTTTATAATTAATATACAGAGTATTTATAATAAATAAGTGCTTAATTTCAGAGTAACATTGTGAACAAAACTAACTTATAATTGCTTATCATTTTTACAAACTTTGCAAAAACAAGTTTGATAAGTTTTAACATCAAGGACTAAATTGTTTGTATGATTTTAAAACAGTATTTAGAAAAGTTTTTGTTGTAAATTACTATAATTTGCATTAAGTTTGTTAAACAGCAGTTTATTACTACAGTAGTTTTTTGTGTAAAAAGGTTATAAAAATCATTTAATATTATTTGGATATCAAGTCAAAAAACTTAAAGAAAATACTAATACTTTCCAAAATAGTGAATACCTGTTGGCACTAATACTGTACTAAGTTACTACTATTTATAATTATGTTATCACATTAATCATATACAGTACTGTATAATATACAATACAGTGTATATTGTTTTAGGAAAAGTTTATATTTAGTGCTTAAATTTGTACTCAAATACACTATTCTTCGTAAACTCTATGGAAACGATTCCCATTCCCCTACACCTCATGCCAGCCCTCACTCGCACAGCGAGGGATTACTGGGAAACAGTGGAAAAAGACCGCATTTAATGCTATTATAATAGTATAGGAAATAAAATAATTGAATGCCATTTGAATGCTATTAAAAATACAAGATTTCGAAAAAAAGTTTTGTCAATCAGATTTGACTATTAAAATGCGGGTTATTGCTAAACTATTTAAGTTATCAAATTTATATTTAAACCTCAACTATGGTTTTTGGTCTTACATATTCTCCCGAAGAGAGTACTAGTTTAGAGCACCGGTAGGTCGGCACAGGTAGGTTATCTGTACAACATAAAGTATAAGTCTTAGAGAGACAATCAGCACAGCGTTGGAAAGAACATGAAAAATGATCGAGAACCTCTATCGGGATTTCGCAAGTAACATCCTCATTGAGGGATTGAGAGGTACGGTATGCAAGAATTTTCTTTAAATATTTCTTAAATCAAAAATCAGATTTAATCATAAAATAGGGCTCAAAAAATTAATAATATTAACATTTTAAAAATTTAAAATAACTTAAGAAATAACTGATCTAGAGCAAGTCAAAGTTCCCTATTTTTCACTGAAATTTAATATCAAAAACAAATTAGACGAAATG